CTTTCGCTCCTAACTTCCTCAGTTTTTACTGGCTTCGCAGTCGAAGTCGCGTTACACTCAGTTTGAGATCATGAAGAAGCCTCGGTGACTAGAGTGATCAAGTTTTGTCTTTCATTATTTTCCTGCTGGGAACAGATGTGGCTGTTGGTTTTGGCAGGCGTTATTGGCCTAGAGAACTAGGCAGAGAGAAAACATTCTCTACTACCTTCTCGCTCGAGTTTCCGTTTCTGCAAGGCCTCTTTTCAGGCGGTCCTCCACCATTCAGCCCACATAGGTCAATCAAATTTAGGCTGTACCTAAGGAGCAAGTATAATCATAGTAATCGTTTGAGAGCCAGTGAAGTTTCACTTAGCTGTATGTTTTTGCTTGTGTTCACTATTGTAATAACTTCTGATAATCCGCTCGCTACACTCAAAACTGCCGCTGGTATAACCACATGAATATGGATTTACATCTTTTAGAAGATGCAGCTGTTAGGTTGATGCACACTTTATGGTATCAACCTTTGTATTCATCATACTACATACCACCGTTCATAGTGTATCGACAAGTCGGGCATTGATAGTTAACTATTTTACATAGCCTAGCCACCACTCAACGATTTTCAGATAATTTGCCGATAAAGAATAAAGCAACGGAAGCTTATAACTAAAAAGTTGGGTAGGAAGCAAAAGGGAACCGGGAACCGTTAGGTTTAAGAAATGAGATAATTCAGGAAACTGTTGTACTGTAGGGCTCAAATGGTTCAAATGGTTTTAGACAGAATAGAGGAAGCTTTCGCTTAACGGCCTTCCATATCTAGTATCAGTAGATCACTAATGTCTCTAGGCAGAAACCAAGGTATATTATCGAGAAAATTTAAATAATAGTAAAAAATATCCTTAAACCCTAAGAATATGTCGGTTCTACTATTAAAGGATTCCTGGGGATTCGCTTGGACTAGCTCATCCGGCAGCGAATGCAAGCATTTGACTACTCTTAAGGAGTAGAAGGTGTATCTACAGTCCGTTCAGCTGTGTTGTGTTTCCAATTTCTGAGTATTACTCCTAAGTTTTGTGTTGAAATTAAGCCCAAGTAGGTGTTTAAGTTGATGCGCAGAAGTGATTTGAACACTGTAAGTCATTAGAAGGTTACCTCTAAGACGCCTGTACTTCAATTAATAAAAGATCAAGTGACTGCACGAGCTCTTCATTAGGCTTGAATTTAAGTTCCCGAACTGATTTCGTGGCTCGTCGTTCTATACGTTCCAGAGTGTCCTTATCCTTTTGGAATGAAGTACCGAATACTGTTTCTGTACTGTAAATTGGGTCAAACAAAACTGTTGAAGATTATTCGTTAAGTTCTTCCGTCGGACTGGCCGAAAGTGTGCTTCAGCGTCACTAGTGTAAAGTCTGCTTGGGAGGCTTTTTGTTGTAGTTAGTGTAAGACTTCAGGTCACGGGGCCCCAACATTTTCAGGCCTTTTTCAACTTAGCATACCTCTAGAAGGGAGTTGCCTAAGTTGTAGTTGTAGTCTGCAACATGTCTCAGATGGAATGCTTTACACTTTGGAGTATTGAAGATAAGTTCGTTGTCACCTGCCCAACTTAGAAGTCGAGTCACATCTCGTATTGTCAGATAATCCTCTTAGTTGCAATCTTCTCTCCAGAGTTTCATCTCGTCGGCGAGAAGTAATAAACCTGACGATACAAGCTGTGGAAGATCGTTTATACAAACAAAGAAGAAAAGATATCCTAGTAATGAACTTTGAGAGACCACACTATGACGTTCCATAGTCTGAAAGTGAAGTTAAATAGGACCCAAAACGACGATTATTTAGATATGAAGTGAACAAATCAGTTAAAGGTGATTTGATACGCAATCTTTTTGGCATATTGATAAGACATACATGGTTGACCCTATCAAAAGCTTTGAGAAGTCAGGGTATATGACGTGAAACTTCCCCTTGCGATCAATAACGGTTGTCTATCTGTCCATTGAAGTCATTAGGTTGGTTATACAAGAATGACCTTTTCCGAAACCGTGCTGTTTAAGTGAAAATAGGTTTATGGATAATAAGTATTCGTGTATACCATCGCATGTCAGGGACTCCGCGATTTTGAAGATATAGAGAGAAGTGCTACCGGTCGGTAGCTTGAAAGTTTGCTGCGTCGACCGTCTATGAAACTGGTGTGATGTAAACCAGCTTCCGAAATTTCGGTAATGTGCCTTAGCTTAGCGAATGTGAGAACATCACTCTAGGCAGTGTTGCAAAGATTAAAGCTGCTTCCTCAGTATGGCAGAAGGAACCATATCCGAATCAGAAGAAGTGTCTTTGTGTAGATGCTGCAGGTTCCGGTACACCAAACCAATGCTCAAGTCCGTTTCGGCAAGTTTTGTGCAGTCGCACACGAAGCTTTCGTCAATATAATTAGTGTGAGTCTATTAAAATGTCTGAGAATACTGTTCAGCCAGAAAATTAGCGGTTCCACTCTAGTTTCTGATCGAGTCTTTAGGACCTAGCAATTGGGAAACTCAGTTTTTGGCTTGTCGAATAGAGTGTGCATAACTGAATAAGCCTTACTAATTGGAGACAAATTTATAGATAGCCTTTATCTGGTACTGAAACCTGTATTTTCTTATTGCTTTTGTGCACATGTTCCTCATTTGTTTGTTTTGCATGTATGCGCCGTTATTACCAGTTCGTTTGTATTTCTCTCAATAGTGCTTTTTGTGGCTTGGCGAACAAAGAGTGCGGTTCTTGATGACTATAAGTTGCTTGTAGATTTTGAGGACCATTTTAGTATATCATCTAAAGTTAGCACACACATGATGAAGAACTTAGTCTTGATGCATGATAACTATCAAAAACTATAAAAATTGACTAAATAACAGATTATCCCTGGATAGGCTGAAATATTCAACGTTTACTAAGACAAAAGAAGAAATGTTTGAGTGTTGACATCTGCCTTGGCACAGCAAGTATTATGAAACTCTACAGGTCGGTAAGAAATAAGTGCATCTTTGAATTCCGGGAAGCTCAGAGAAAATACAGAATGCAGTAGGCAAAATCTGCACTCAGGGAGCCTAAGAGACTATTCTCGTACATTAATTACAGAAAAAAAATGCAGCGTTGGATTGTGAGCCTAATTAAGGAAGGGAGCGGATCTGAAATAATAGATGACGATCAGGAAAAATCAGAGTCCATGGCAAACTATTCTGGGGCAGCTTTCACTCAGGAGCCTTTTCTAGACAAAGAACTAAACCCAAATACAAAGTCAGAAAACCGTCTGCTAAATGTATACTTTAGTCAAGATGATGTACTTAAGGCTTTTAACACCTTAGAAACGAAAAAACCAACGGGACTGGGTGAACTACACTCTCAAATCCTGAGAAATATTGTATAATATATTGGAGTCCCACTAAGTGAGATATTCAACATTTCACTTGACCAAGGTATATTACCTACGGACTGGAAAGGTGCAATCGTCACTCTCGTACATAAAACACGAATAAGATAACTTCCATCGAGCTACAGACCTGTCAGCCTCACCAGCGTAGTAGTTAAAATACTGGAAAGAATAATCAAAAAGACCATTATGACATTTGTGGAAACCAACAACTTGTAAATCAGCGAACAGCATAGTTTCAGAAAGGGTTTGTCTTGCACAAAAATCCTCCTTATAGCAAGGGACCAATGGATAGAGGCTGTGGACAATGAAAAACCACTGGGTGTTGTCTACATAGACTTCAGCAAAGCATTCGATAAGATGCCAACAAATAGACTACTATTGAGGCTAGAAAATGTTGGTATTGCCGGACCTCTCTTCAAATGGTTTAAAGATTTCCTAGTATGTCGTAGACAGAAATTAGGAGTAAATTCAAAGCGCTTCACCCAGAGACCAGCACTTAGTGGGGTACCTCAAGGTTTTGTCCTAGATCCTTTACTATTTATACTGTATGTAAATGATCTCTCAAGTATAGCTGAGTTCCAAATCTTAATATACGCTGACGATGTAAAAATCTGGCGAGAAATAAAGGAAGATACGGATGCATGCGCACTTCAGGTAGACTTCAATATTGTGATTAACTGGTCTAAAGAGTGACTGACGACTATCAACTGGGCAAAGTGTGTTTACATGCACGTTGAGGATACAAAGGTAAATAGGTGCCGAATAGGGGAAGAGTCTGTGCCCGTGATTTGGTCTCACAAGCATCTTAGGGCAACAGCGAGTTATGATATTAAGACCACGGCTCATCGCCGGGAGGTCGCAGCCAAAGGGTTTAGAACCCTTTGGGATTTAAGACGGACATTCACTAAGTTAAATACTACAATGTTCACCACAGTATACACAACCTTAGTGAGAACAAAGCTTGAGAACTGCGTTCAGGCTGCAAGTCCCCGTTACAAAGGTAGCTCGGATGTCCTGGAAAAAGTGCAGGGTGCAGCTACATATGCGATTTCAGAACTCCCTTGTTTACTATACATAGAGCGGCTTAAAAAGCTAGACTTCTTTACTCTGTTCTATCACAGATTAAGAGGTGATCTGAGTTTGATGTATAGAATAATAATAAGAAATGGTTTTAAACCTAATATATTCTCTCTTTTTCCACCCACCAGATCAAGACATCTCAGAGGACATAGAAGGCGAGTAAAAAAAAGCTAAGAACGGACAAAATACTGGTGGCATACAGATTTTCACATCGAGTAATCAATTCTTGGAACCTGGTATCCGAAGCAGTGATGACTCATTAAAAAAAAACCAGACACCCATAGAAGCACACTAAAAAAGGAATAGCATAGGCTGTAAGCCTTTTGTCCTTACTACACAAATCTATATCTGTTCTAGAGAATAGTCCTAGAGAATAATTATGAAGAGAAGTACACCCTCATATCCAGGAAATGCATCCAACAGATAAAATTTATATCTAGAGAAAGACCTAGTACTTAACTTCTTCTTGATAAAGCCTGTGTTATTACTTAGTACTATTGCGTGTAATAACCACATGTAGTACAGAGGCGCGGGAGTTAATGAGTGGACGTACATTTCATTAAGAACTGAAGTTATGGCTGACCTTCCTCCTACGCAGGATATTGATGAAACACATGATTACATATCACAAAAAATCGAATCCCCCGTAGTTTGGGGAAGATTGCTTCCCCTAGATAACAGGTTCCCTTCAATTGGTTTGATGGCTTTCAATAACATTTACGCTTATCGATATCTTTAGATTTGATCAATGACTCTTATACATTCGGTCGTGGTGATGACTGCTCCTTCAGATTTGTTCTTGATATGTTTGACGGTTCATCACAGTTTACAACAGTTAGTAAACTCCATTTCAAAATAGTTTTGGTATATAAGCTGTATTCTTTACGTTCACTAAATAATTCATTTACAGGAATCAACGAGTGACAATCCTCTGGTTTTTATACATGATCTTAGCAGCAATGGAACTTTTGTCAATGGGTCAAAAGTCGGACGTGGCAAGAAGCAACCGTTAAATAACAACGATGAAATCTCAATATCTCTAAAACATTTAAAATGTTTGACTGTATTTTAGCTTACCAATTCACTTTTAGGCTTTATATTTTCTGAGTCCAGCTCCGCTCGTGCTCTATATCCACCTGAAGTGACAGATAAATATACTGTTTCAAAGCATATCGGACGGTTTGTGTACATTTTATTTGTATATTAACTATAACAGAGGTGCCTATGGGGAAGTTAGGTTGATCTTTGATAAGGAATATTGTGAAAAATACGCAATGAAAATAGTCCAAAAGAAACACTTTTCCTTAGCTTCGAAACTTGGCAAGGTATATTTCCTGATATATATTTTCTTTTAAAAAATAGTCTTCCACTAGTTCAATCGCTTCTGAAGTGGATATATTAACGCGTCTAAACCACGTAAGTCTTCTGGCAAAAATGGTTTTATAACATGTTCTTTACAACCTTTCCAAAGTTTACGCATAGTTCAAATTGTTTACAGTATGCTCATCTAAAAACTCATTCATTTAGATAGGTCATTGGTTGACTAGTTTTAGTAACAGTAATAATAGTATGTCTCCGGGTTTTTCTTGATGTCTAAGTATTTTTCCTGGACAGTTATCATTACTAACTTTACGTGTAAATACAAACATTTCGCACCAGTATGCCACTGATTTGTTAATCCAAATAACAGTAGCACTATGCACATTTACTGCTTTCAGCCTTGTGGGATAATGCTTATTCGCTAACATTGTCGTTGTTGGACACTTGTTTAATTCCTGCCTACCAAACAAACAACTCCAAGTGGGCGATAGTTAACATAAATGCAACTGTATAAATATTTACCCTGGTTTTCGTCATCCATTTAATTTAATGACAGAATATGAATTAATAGTCTATCAGTGTCTTCTAGTTTGATGATGTTAATTAGATCTAGTTATTTGGACAAGTTGACCTCAATGAAATTGAAGTCAAATACGAATTAAAATTCGTATTAGTAATTATCTGAATATTTAAATACTGTTTGTTTTCAGTATAAGCTTAATCTTTCAACCAAGTATCCAGATAAGTAAAACTATCTGCGTTATTAAAAACTCAATGCATTATTACTGTACGCAAAAACGATTTCTATTGCGAAAGACTGATACTTTGGAAATAATCCAGACTGGTCAATAACAATCTGTCAAAAAGACTTACGCATTTAATATTGGCCGCTACTTCAAGTTACTCGTAGCATGCACATATGATTTTGAATCTTGTCCCAAAAGTTAGATCTGTAAAACCCCTGGTCGTCGATAGTATTGAACAAACCGTCTCCATGATAGTGTAAAATGTTAAACTTGACTTTGAAAAGGTTTATATGTACTTCTTGTGAAATATCCCGGTAATTAACGAATCTTAGAGCTATTAGTATAACATACACCCATTAAAACCACACTTGTACCAAGTAATACATTTAGTTTTTGTTTTTTTACTGCAAGTCATATTTTCACTATCACTTGGTTTAAAGGCATGATTTTATTCACATCTTAAATATATTGCAATAGTCGTAAAGTTATTATTTAAACACATAAACATTGGTACAAGGAGGTACCAAATAGATATGCGCCACTTAAATCATTCGATATGTGTGATGGGTTGGGATACTGATCGAGTACCCAAACCGAAGCAGGAGTGTACAACTTTACAGAGTTATAAGTTATTTCGTCTTGTAACAGTTAGATATGCATTTGACAGTTACACTGAAATTGTCAGATTCCTTCGCGACGTTTAAGATGTTCTTCAGGTTTCACTTCTGCCTGGATTTACTGATTGACCAAAAATACATAAAATCAGTGTAATTATGTAAATGTGTCAAAAGAATAGAATGTAGGTAAAGCATAGCTGTGACGCATATGTATCTGGTGTCCCTTTGTACCAATATTTATATGTTCAAATATATAATAGGTAAAAGGCGTAATACAGGTATATGTACTGTAACACTGTATGGTTGATATACATTCAACTATATTGTTCCTAATCGTTTTGCTCAACAAGGAAAATTTTGATTGTAGTTATACTTTTTTCTCTACTCCAAATTTTCCCGTTACTCTGTTCTTATTAACATTTACTCTTATTCGTAGCCATGCATCATTCAAATCTACGATGTTATAGATACGACAGAAGCGATGTACATGGTTCTTGAGCTGTAAGCAGATTGGTTGTCAAACTCATTTTACATTTTAGTGTTGAAGGTGGTGAACTCTTCAATCGTATCGTCGACCTTGGTCAATTAAATGAATCTGATTCCAAGTTTTTCTTTCTTCAAATGGTTATAGCCGTAAAGGTAACCAGTTAATTATATGTACACCTGCTGGTATCTTAACGATCTAATTTTGTTTAATTAAATTAAAAATAAAAGGCTTGATGAATGACCAATGTGCAAATTGAAACTGTTTTAGTTTAAGAATGAACTTGAAGTGTTATCACCTCTAATGACAGTTAATAATGTGCATATCTTTTATTTTGATAGTTACTTGGCTTGATTCATTTACTCATAATATTTTTGTTCACCTCATCTAATTGACACAAATCCTAGTAAAACTGGGCACCAAAAATAGTATACGCTACACAATATCTGCATGCGAGCTGCATTACTACCCAAACATAACCAGGTGGGTTTCTTGGGAAATCACGCCCCAAGCCTTTGATCTCAAGGTCTAACCCACAAAGCAGTTGAGCAATATCACCTTTGGTATAAGGGATGTATGTGTAATAATCTAGTTACTGAATAATGATACAGTAAAACAATAATTTGATAAAATCAGTTCCAGCGTTTACAACATTTATCCCATCATAACAATACCGTATCTCAGTACACTATTTGTTCTCCCATGATCCTGGATCCCATCCTCGCCGTTGGTTTGGGATCGGGATTTTACTGCTCGCCTGGGTGCATTTTGCTTATCCACCAACCCAGTTTAATTGCATAATGTTCTCTTTTGATCCTCTCGTTTCTAAAGTCAGCATTCTCCTCCCCTCAAGACTTAGAGTATGCGGATGATGTCTTACTGTGCGAGAATGCTCAAGCCATGCAATCCGCACTTAGTCAGTTGGCAATCAGTGTCCGTAGGTATGGTATGTGCTTTGCACCTTCGAAGTGCAAAGGACTTCTACAAGACTGGCAGGATTCTAATCCTGTACTCACTCTAGACGGTGAGCAGATAGAACTCGTCGAGAAGTTCGTGTATCTGGGTAGCTGCATAAGTGCTGGTGGTGGCGTGAGTGATGAGATCAATGCACGTATAGTGAAAGCCAGAGCGGCTTATGCCAATCTGGGCCACCTTTAGCGCCCTCGTGATGTTAGTCTGGCTGTAAAAAGTCGGATCTATAACGCGTCGGTGAGAGCAGTTTTGCTCTATGCTCGTGAAACCTGGCCTCTCAGAGTTGAGGATGTTAGACGACTCTGTGTTTGATCATCGTTGCCTCCGAAAGATTGCTAACATCCAGTGGCAACAACATGTTAGTAATGCAGAGGTTCGGCATCGTGTGTTCGGGCACAGTGACGACAATCCAATTGGTGTCACCATCTTGAAACACCGACTTCGGTGGCTTGGACATGTTCTACGAATGTCGTCCCAGAGAATTCCTCGTCGTGCATTATTTGCCGACTCTGGGACTGGTTGGAAAAAGCGGAGAGGTGGTCATTATATGACATGGTGTCGTGGTATGAAAGAAAGCTGCAAAGGGCTGTCTTTTGTTGGTCCTTCACGACTCCCTGGCTGAGGTCCGAGAGATGGTGTAACACAGTGGCTAGAGACGTTATCAGATATGGCTCAGAATAGAAGCCAATGGCGGTCCTGCTGTAACCTTCTTTTACTTTCTTCATAAAAAGTGGTTGTATCTTCCTTAACTGAAAGATTTCTTCTGATTGTACCTTTTCGTTTCCCCCATTATTGTTCTCTCTCTTTTTTTATAACTCCCTACGTTCCTTACTTTTTTTTTCCCTTCTCTGTAAATTCTCATTGTTTTGTGTGGCGCATATATATTTGGTGCCCCCTTCTGTACCAATATTTATGTGTTCAAATAAATAAATAAATAATATTCTCCTCCCCTCAAGAAAGCAATGCATAGGAATTCCCCGCAAGATACCGTAGAATAATAACCGTATAAGTGCATTTTTGAGGAGAGTGAACTGTGTTCACCGTCGTCTTAACCAGCCCATTTACGAGCAAATAGGACTTATTTAGAGCACAATACATTTTCTTCTATGAGTTGGATGTTAAATATGAGACTATATTGTTATTTTTTAACCTGAAATTTCACCGACGAAGATAGTCAATGCACTTATCGATATTATTTTGATAAGGTTATTGACCCATGAGATTGCATAACCCCTGTTTTGTGTTCATGTTTTTATTGTCCTAACTAAATACTTACATTAACTAGTTAGATAGTTTTGTGTATATTTGCAAATACCTTGCCTTTTTTTTGTTTACTTATTGTAATCAACTTTTTACTATGAATGTGTATTGTTATCAAGTCATTTTATATTAATAATATTATTAATAGCTATTCCCTCTCTCTCTCTTCAACCTCTTTTTTACTTTTAAAGTACTTACATGATCATGGAATCACTCACCGCGACTTAAAGGTAACATTGGATTTATTATTTATATGTTTGTTGATTTTTGTTTTAGTTATACCACTGTCAACTATTTTTTGTTTTCCTAAATGTATCATTTGTTCAAGTTTTAGACTTGACATTGTATTTTCACAACTTCTTTATCCTACAGTCTTCAGTAAGATTACTATTAATGGCTTTAATCAATATCACATGTTTAGTTCAATATGAAATTTTCAGTACTTTGAGTTCATAACTTGTAGAATGTACTAGTTAAGTATTATGGTTATCTTGGTTTTAAATTCGTCTGTAAAACAAGTAATTTGAAAGTAAATAGCCCCCAAATACCCTGGTATGACCGAGAGTGGGGAGAGTCCGCTCTCCCTCTCGAAATGCTCTCACATGGCCACGCGTACATAGCCCCTGCCAGGGAAGTCCTACTCACTGCCTTCTTGCACCACGGGTGTTGTTTACGAAAATGAGAGGACGAAAAGCGAATGTCCGGCACCGGCTTTAACCGGATCCCAAACCAATGGTGCACATGGGCTCCAGTATCCTGCGGGAACAAATGGTGTATGAACCAATCGTTGGTCACCGGCTACCATGGGACTGTATCTCCTCACGATGCTCCACTGCCTTGTGTTTAGACTTTTAGGTCGAAGGCTCGGGGTGTGGCGCCCTAAGAAAACCACCTGCTTCGGTTTGGGCACCCGAGCAGTATCACAGCCCTCACACAAATCAATTGCGATTCGTGTGGCGCATATGTATTTGGTGCCTCCTTGTACCAATACTTATGTGTTAAAATAAATAAATAAAATAAATAAGAAATTTGTGACATCATTCAACTTTTCACTGTTATTCAATCGTGTACACTGAATGAAAATAATAAAATTCTTATTCAGTAAACTAACAAATCGAATAGAGAAAACTGGTATCGTCATAATCTCACACCTAGGTCAATTTATTATCATTAATATTATTTATTTATTTGAACACATAAATATTGGTACAAGGAGGCACGAAATACATATGCGCCACAAAAAATTTTACTTGTGTGTAGGCTGTGATACCACCCGGGTGCTCAGACCGAAGCAAGTGGTTTTCTTAGGCGGCCACACCCCGAGCCTTTGACCTAAAGATCTAATCCACAAGGCAGTGGAGCGTCGTGAGGAGATACAGTCCCATGGTAGCGGGTGACCAACGATTGGTTCATACGCCATTTGTCCCCTCAGGATATTGGAGCCCATGTGCATCATTGATTTGAAATCAGGTTAAAGCGCCGGACATTCGCTTTTCGTCCTCTCATTTTCGTAGACAACACCCCTGCCACGAGAAGTCAGTGAGTAGGACTTCCTTGGCAGAGGCTGTATACGCGTGGCCGTGTGACAGCACTTCGATAGGAAGGGTGGGCCAACCTCACTCTTGGCCATACCAGGGCGTTTGGGGGCATCACATAATCCTGATAATCTTATTATTATTATTACACTATCGAAGTTCTCTAGGTACTATGGAAATGGTTATAATTTTAAAAATAAACATCAAGAAAGCTGTCAATGATAGCTGTGGTGTTCGTTAATACCTATACAACGGAAATATTTCAAATATAACACTTGATTTAAAACTTCTGTCGTATTGTTAAATCCATAGATAAACTGTGGCTTCGGATAAATTCTTCATGCTTCGCTTATTCGTACAGAGCTCATTTATTGTTCAATGGTCTACCAAATTATCATCCTCATTGATAAAACAGTAAAATTCGTCCTATACTACTCTGTTAATTCTACTTTTGTTTTATAGCCTGAAAATATTCTCCTCACAAGTAAAGCAAATCGATGTCTTATAAAAGTGACTGATTTCGGTGTATCAAAACTTGTTGATGAAGGTACAATGTTGCGTACATTTTGCGGTACTCCAGACTACTTGGCTCCAGAAGTTTTAAAAACTGCTGGTTGTGGGACATATACATGTGTTATTGATGTATGGTCACTCGGTGTGATTTTGTACATTTGGTAAGCTGTATATGATTGTTGTAAACTCATACTAATCTTATCATGGTGGTTTATTGAATAAAGCATATTTTTTCAGCCACTTGCTTGGTTGTTGGAACCCTGATGATAACCAGTCTACCTTCATACACCATACACAATAATTATTGATAATATAACACCAAATCTTCCTACTATTAGTCAAAATCTTAAGAACTGAAATGCTAACGACTATTTAAACTATTTGGAATATTGATGGAAACTCTACAAATTCTAAATAGGGTTTAAAACAAAGAAAACAGAAGTAGCTTTTCATATTTTGCATAAAAAAATATGTGCATGCAGTAAATACGACTCTTTACCTAATGAATCATGGTATTAATTCGGCCTGTTCTGTCCCAAACTTTTGCATTAACAAATGTAATATCATGGGGCTGGTGATGGCTATGCATCTGTATTAGGTGTTCCAATAGTCGTAGCTGCTAAGAATTTCACAGTAAGGTTGACTGGTTCATCACATCTTCGCATTATGTAGCTCATAAACTCAACTTTACTCACATAGTATTTTATCATAGTTAATCAGTGATTCGAAGGCACCCATGATCGATTACTAACAACTTCCAGTATATAAACTATTGTTTTTATTCACACTTGTTCGACTGTCCTATAAGTACAATCATCCAATAATTGTAGAATAAATAGTAGCAATTTTAATTCTAAAATTAGTTGAATGAATCCAAAAACAGGTCAGTGTATAAATAAAATATAGCACCTTTAATTTTATAGTAAGTTTCTGTTCTAAAACTAGATGATATTGATTCATTAGAGGATATATGGTAAGTAGTTGAAAGTTAACGTTATAGTTGATTGATATTATTTATTTATTTGAACACAAATATTGATACAAAAGAGCACCGAATACATATGCGCCACACATGTCACTTGATTTGTGTGTGGGCTGTGATACTGCCCGAGTATCCAGACCGAAGCAGGAGTTAATTTCTATCTTACATACTATCGATTTTAATAATCAGTAATTTATAAATTGTACGAATCACCTGCAAATTTTGATCACTCATCGATCAAAACAGTACTTCACGGGTTCTAACTCTTCCATTCAACTTTGGTTTAACTAACCGAAATGCTACAAGTTTTCCTACACTCGAACATTGTAGTTCAGAGAAGATTGTAATATAAAAACAATATTCAACCAATAAGATAAAATAATATAGCGAATTTCAATGATTAAGATCATGAGTCAGTTGAAGCTAGACCACCATGGAAAACCTGGAAGCACTGGACGGCCGTTTCGTCCTCAGCAGTGCGCATCCACGACCTCGCCCCCTGCGAGGTTCGTACAAAGTATTTTTATGCACAATGACAATGTTATAACATCTGTAAACTCAAGCCAAAACTATGCGTACAAAAAAGTGCGTTCTAATTGTTATTGTTATCTTGGCCTTAATTTAGTATTATTATAACTGTATTTCTCCCTTTACTTATGTTTTATATTCTTATGAATTTATTCATAATTATTCATGATATCACTTCATTTATTTCACATCTCTATTACCTTTAATTACGTACAATTATTGTAATAAAAACATCATCTTACTGTATTCACGCTATAATTCGTTACTAAATTAATAAGTCTATTGTTATTATTTGTATTACGTAATCTAGTATTATAATCTTTCTATTACATCATCTTTGTTATTCCTTATTCATATTTCCTCATGGAACTAGTACTTTAACAAAAAAAACCCTTTCATATATCAGTATAGGGTTTGTGGAGATTGTTAAGTTTTGATTGAGATCATGAACCGATTGATGTCAGATCACCATTGAAGACCTGAAAGCACTGGACGGCCATTTCGTCCTATTGTGAGACTCCTCAGCAGTGTGCATCCACGACCCCGCTCGCGGAATTCAAACCCAGGGCCTTCAGTCTTGCGCGCGAACGCTTAACTTCCGATTGTACAGCTTGATAATAAATTCGTTAAAACGAGATCCCTTCACTGAACTTCGTGTTTTTATGATGTTTAAATGGGAATTATCTATCAATACTAGAAAATACAATTATATGAACGATGAATATTCTTTTCAATAATTTCTCATCAGTACATCATCTGTATCTATCGGTTCAACTGCCTCCGTGGAGCAGTCATATTGGCAGATGATCTAGGAATTTGTTATATTTGGGCTCGTGAACACCTCCAAGCATGGTTAAGTAAAAATGTCGTTAAAACAGTTAACAACTCCATTTTAGCCCATATAATTTAGACGGGACATATAGCCAACATAGAGAAATTTTTCACAATAATGTATCGTGTTAACAACAGTCTACCTAATTCTGTTAAACTGAGGATCCTGCAAACGGTTGAAGCAATTGCTATTCAGATCACATAGCCAGAGCTTTGCATACCAAAGAAATATGTTTAGCCCGCTCCTTTTACCCTTGGCCAACTTTGGGCTCAACTAGTTAATAATCAATTTTATAATATGGTGACGTAATTTCATTAATGTTCATTTTTATGTTCAAAACTTATCCATACATCTTACCATTTTCATTATTGTTATCATTATGATATTACACTTGTTAACCTTTATTCAGCATCCACCCCTATTCATCGGATTCTTAAATCACCCCTTCACTCATACATTTCCACTCGCTTGATTCTCTTAAATTATGTGAACACTTCAAATTCTATTCAATTAATACGTAATCCATCTTATGTAAACCCTTCATTAACTCTAAAATTATCATACAATTGATCTTATCTGTCTCTGAACTCCACCTAACTATTACGTCACCCACCCTTAATGTTTCCTTGATTCTAACACTAAATAACCTCTGACATGTTCTTTTATATATAGTTATCATTAATAACCTTTGTTATTCCAATTCTTTACATTCATTTATGTCAATTGTTCCATACCATTTCTTATCTTAATGTAAATTTGTAATACACAATTGGTTGTAAGCAGCTGATGAGAAACCACGACATATAATGAAGTTTGTGCTGATGATGTCGTTCAGAAGAACGATGAAATCTCTACGATTAAACCATCCAGCTTAGAGAACAAAACTCCATCAAAAAAAAGAGTTCATTATAATCTTTCCAAATTTAGTCTTGTTCAGAACTGTGCATTGATATTGTCTTTTGTACATTTATAAAATACATCAAAATAAGGCAAGTTACTTACTTACACCTGTTACTTCCAATAAAGCATAGGCCACCAACCAGCATTCTCCAACCCACACTGTCCTAGGTCTTCCTTTCTAGTTCCATCTAGTTTTTGTTCATTCTTCTCAATATCTGTCTCCATTTAAACTAAGGCAAATGACGGAATTCAATGCTTTTAATGTATAAAGGTTTACTGCATTTATACTAAGCACATCCATTTATTATAATGCATTCTTTTACCACTTTTTTTTTTATAAAAAAACCTTATTAACCCTTTCATATATTTACTTCAGTTTAGTGGGATATCCTCCATTCACTAAACAACGTCAAGATTTTGATTTAGAAACTCAAATTATTAAAGGTTTATATGACTTTCCCAATATGTTCTGGCATGGAATAAGTGAAGAAGCTATCAATCTTATTAAACGTATGCTTGTTGTCAATCCAATTGATAGAAGTTCAATTTATGTAAGTTCCAAAGTGTCAGTATTGTGGGGGGGGGTATTTTGAACCATAATAAATGAAATCATAGAATAATGTAATTACTTATTATTTTTTTCCATTAAAATATAACTTTAAAATAAAATAGTCTGTCAAACGAACTGGAGTAAGACAAGGCTGTCTACTTTCTCCCTTCCTCTATTCGTGGTCGACTAAATTATGAAGACCTCGACATCTGAGGGAAAACACGACATACAATAGACAGCTCAGAACCGATTAGACGATTTGGACTTCGCAGATGACCTACCCCTGCTATCGCATACACACGAAGAAATGCAGATGAAGACAGCCAGTGTAGCAGCAGTCTCTGCATCAGTAGGCCTCAACATACACAAGGGGAAAACTAAGGTCCTCAAATACAACACGGAGAACAGTAATCCAATCACTATTGATGGCGGAACTCTGGAAGACATAGAATCCTTCACATGCCTGGGAAGCATCGTCGATGGACAAGGAGAATCAAATGCAGACGTAAAGGCGAGGATTGGCAAAGCAAGGGTGGCATTCCTTCAATTGAAGAATATATAGAACTCAAAACAACTGTCTGTCAACCAATATGAAAGTGACAATCTTCAATACGAAAGTTAAGACAGTTCTACTGTATGGAGTGGAAACTTGGAGAACTACTACAACTATCATCAAGAAGCTACAAGTATTTATCAATAGCTGTCTACGCATGATACTCAACATCCAACATTGGCCAGATGCCATCAGCAACAGCCTTTTGTAGGAGAGAACAAACCAGCTTCCAGCTGAAGAGGAAATTAGGAAAAGTCGATGAAAATGGATAGGACATACATTACGCTAATCATCAAACTGCATCACGAGGCAAGCGGTAACTTGGAATCCTGAAGGGAAGCGCAAAAAAAGGAAGGCCAAAGAACACTTTACGTCGGGAAATAGACGCGGATATGAAAAAGATGAATAAGAACTGGAAAGAGCTTGAAAGGATTGTCCAGGACAGGTTTAGATGGAGAATGCTGGTGAGCGGCCTATGCTCCTTCGCGAGAAGTAACAGGCGTAAGTAAGTAAGTAAGTCAATCATACAAAACGTACAGCTTGATTCATCTTTGCAATGTTCCAAGTTGCCACAACATATCAATACATTATGATGACATTATAAAAATAAGTCCCAGAATAGTAGGAGTAGTGTCACTGGTAGTAGGAAAGGTTAGTCATGGAGTATGTGATTCGAGATATAGAAGATTCACCTAGGGGGAGTTGGAGAACCCTGATTCCAAACCAATGGTGTACATGGGCTCCAGTATGCTGAAGGAACAAATGGAGTATGAACCTATTGTTGGTCACCGGCTAACATAGGACTGCATTTCCTGAAGTTGCTCTACTGCCTTATAATTCAGACCTTTGAGTCGAAGGCTCCGGGTATGACCCTCTAAGAAAATCACCTGTTTCTCTTTGGGCACCCGACAGTATCCTATCTCACACAAATTTAATGATTTAATTGGTTCATATCTGTTTGGTGGCTCCTTGTACCAATGTTTATGTGTTTAAATAAATAAAATAATGTGATTCGAGAAGAAAGAATGAATTTAGCGAATTAAATGGTATAGAATAATTTTTAAACTGGGAAACTTAAGCCTCAACAAAGAGTGAATACATCTTCGCCACTGCAACTGCTTCTCAGTTGTTACCCATCCCCAACCATTTGGTTACGGTAATCATGTAAACCTCAACTCGGTACACTTTATCTACCAACACAGTTCAATTCAACAGTCAATATATACGCAACTAGCGACAACAGGAAGATCTGATAGAATAAACCACTAATTAACATGTTGTATATAAATATGTTTTCTACTCCTACCTTGTCTACATTTTAACGTCGAATAAATAAATGAATGAATAAAGTACCATTTCAATATTTACAGTATTTGACTATGGGCAAGAAAAACTTGTAACACTTACTTACTTACTTACGCCTGTTACTCTCAATGGAGCATAGGCCGCCGACCAGCATTCTCCAACCCACTCTGTCCTGGGCCTTCTTTTCAAGTTCCATCCAATTCTTGTTCATTTTTCTCATATCTATCTCCATTTCCCGGCGTAATGTATTCTTTGGTCTTCCTCTCCTCCTTCGACCTTGAGGGTTCCATATGAGGGCTTGTCTTGTGACGCAGTTGGGTGTTTTCCACAATGTGTGTCTTATCCACTTCCAGCGTTTCCTCCTGATTTCTTCCTCCACTGGGATCTGATTTGTTCTCTCCCACAGTAGGTTGTTGCTTATAGTGTCCGGCCAGCGGATCTGAAGTATTTTGCGTAGACAACTGTTAATAAACACCTGTGTCTTTTGGACGATGGATTTCGTAACACATCAATACAAAATACTGTTCACTTGATCATATTATTAATACATCTTTCTAACTAATTTAGTTATATTTTTAATGAAATATGGTTGTTATAATTCTCTCTTTTACGGTTTTAACCCAGCTATTGAATATAATTCATTAATTTCAGGATGTTTTAAAAGATCCTTGGCTTATTGATAGTGAAATTCAAAATGAAGTTCAACAATTAATTAATTATACAAATAAAACTATCATATCATCTAATCATTGTCAATTGAATCCTTCAAAACAAATCTATCTGTCATCATTATCACAAAGAATTTCATCAAATGAACATTCTCCTGAAACAACTAATTCATTTGAATATCATTTAAATAAACCTATTCATTTACTTAGTTCAAATGATGCCGATCCCAACATAGATGAATATGCAGTAGATGTTGAAAATAACACTAATAATTATAGTAATGAAAATAATGAAAGTAATCCATGTTTATTAACTGATAAGGTAAGTCTGATATTACTACTATCAAATTCTACATCTATGAAGATATGGTTTAAAAGTAGTTGCAGGGTGTTGGTATTTACGATGTCAGTCAGCTGCAACGTAGGACCAGGCATTTATATGCATCGGTCCAAGTTGCCATACCGCATTAGCACAACAAGATGAACACCGGATTCATAGAAGTAGTTAATTCAGTGGTGGTAATATATAGAAGAAAGAGTGTGTATAAGGAGATAGTAAAGGAAGAAAGTTAGTTCGTAGAAAAAAAGATTTGAAGCAATTTTAATCTCTTAGTTTAAAAGAAGACAGAGACTGTATACACCGACGCCATTGTGATCGATTCTGAACCATGTCACACAGTCTCCGACCATTTGTTACGATAGTCACACGGACCCTAACCAAGTAGTCTGAATCTACCAACATGGCACAGACCAGAAGTTAGTGACTTCAAGCACTGATGCCACGTTTTGGTTTGACCACCCCTAACTTTCTTCCAATCATCCCTAACACCGGTTACCATTGCGCGTCGTGGTAATCGGTGTTCAGGCATACGCAACACGTGGCCCAACCATCTCAGTCGATGAAGATTCATAACCTCATCAACTGATTTATCATCGTTCCCTAATACCCTGCGTCTAATCTCACTATTACTTACCCGGTGATCCCAGCAGATGCGAGCAATATTTCTAAGGCACCTGTGGTCAAATACTAGTAACTTACGAATATCTTCCACTCTTAAAGGCCATGTTTCACAGCCGTATAGTAGAACGGAACGAACTGCCGCGCAGTATACTCGTCCCTTAATTGATAGACGAATATCTCGCCTTCGTCATAAATGACTTAAGTTGGCAAAGGCCAAACGAGCTTTTCGAATCCTTGCTGAGATTTCGTCAATTTGTAATGTAGTCACCAGTGTTAATGACTCGATTTTACGTGCTCTATGTTTCAAATATTAGGTGGTTTGAGTTAGTCAGTAGGAACCTCTGTTAGACCTACATTTCGTGCCAGTTGATACTCTTCAGCATGGTGTACCTGTAATCTTGATGAATCTGGTGTCCCATGTAGGATTCGAACCCAATAAGTTGTGGTCTGAATAAATCAGTGATAATATTTTACACTGAAGCTAGGCAACCTATATTTGAATTCATCAGAGAGCACTATATCCCTCAAAACTACAGATACATCCTTCTGATGTATCCTGAATAATACGACAACTAGATGAAGTAGGATTTCCTGTAGACTACTTCGAACCACCTACAATCTTTGATATCCTATCTGTTCTTGTTATATATATATATATATATATATATATATATATATATATATATATAATGCTTGTCTTTTTATCTTCCTCTTATCTATTCAAGGCTGTGATCACAAAACGTCCTAGGTTTAGTTCACTTGATTCTGTATTAGAATCCCCAAAACTGTTTATTATCTCTTCTAATGAAAAAGTTATAAGTGATCAAGTTGAATCCAAATAAAACAAGAAATAAGAAGAGAAAAACAAAACAGAAATTCACAAACAACCAATCAATACTCATTAGATTATCATTTTGTATTCCTTTTCAAATCTTCTTTTTGTTTTTTTTTCTTTCATTATTTTACTTTCTCATAAATTTTATTTGTGCATAGTTTGCTTTTGTTCTTCCCCTCCCTCCCCCTTAAGATATTTTTTAATTTATCAATTAGTGGATATAATTCATGTAGTTTAATTTTAAGTTTTAATCTAATTCTCATTGTAGATATTTATTCCATTTACTACATTATATTTCCCGCTCTCCTTTATTATTAGTCTTGCCTTATTTTACTGAAATAAAATATTATTTTCTGTAGTTTGTTTGTTTATCTACATATTTGGGGGTGGGTGGGGGTGGAATCCGAGTTTTATTCCTCAGATAGTCAGTCAGTCAGTAACAACGTGGAACTTCGTACGTATGTACATCAGTTCGAGTTGCCATACCACATTAGCACAGAGCTGCAGTTATCGATTCAAATCCCGTAGTGGAAGTGGTATTGATAGGGAACATTAGGGTTTGATGATGTTATTTAAGGAGTATAATCCAGTAGAATAGATTTGGAAAGAAAATAAAGGACATGAAGAATTCAGAAGATTAGAGTTTGAGAGAACACAGAGATTGGATGCACCTGCGCCATTGCAAACGATTTTGAGCCATGTCATTCAAGGTCTCTAACCATCGGTTGCTATCATCTCGCGGTCCCCAACCAGGTAGTCTACACCTACCAACATGGCTCACTCAGTCCACTTGTCAGTGACTTCATGGATTTGTGCCATGTTTTGGTCCGGCCGCTCCTAGCTTTCTTCCAATCTACTCCTACACCATAAAACATCGCACGTCGGGGCAGTCGGTGGTCGGGCATACGCAACACATGTCCCAGCCATCTCAACTGATTAAGTTTCACTACTTCCTCAATTGATTTGCCATCCTTACCTAGTACCCGTTTCATAACAACTGCATTACTTACTCGGTGGTCTCAGGATATACGAGCGATGTTTCGAAGATACCTATGGTCAAATACTAGTAACTTACGAATATCCTCTACTCTTATCGTCCATGTTTCACTGCCATAAAGTAGGACGGAACGAACTGCTGCGCAATTTACTCGTCCTCTTGTTGATAGACGGATATCTCGCCTACGCCACAAATGACGCAAGTTGGCAAAAGCTAGTCGAGCCTTTTGTATCTGTGCTGAGATTTCGTCACACATCAAACCACAAGGGCTGATGAGACTTCCGAGATAAGTGAAGCGGTCGACACGCTCAAATACTTCACTCCCTATCACTAGTTCGGGTGCCGACGCAACCCAATCCTGACGCAACATTTTGATTCCTGAGATATATAACAAAGTAATGAACTCTGTTATACTTTGTACACTTATCTTGGTATATTCTTTTACAAAAATAAACACTTTATGACATGTAGCACTTATTATTCTTCTTGAGTGTTGTTGAAAGTATAAGGGTGGTTATCATGTCCAGGTTGCCCACGCCGTGTAAGAGTTCTTGGAAGGATGCGTCGCAGTCATGCTGGTTGTCTGAAGGAAACACCTTACTGCCGTTATATATCTGTACTGTCAGTAGTATGACTTCGCCCTCAGACATTGGGTTTGCTGCTTTTAGTCTTATCGACCTGTCTGGTATGATAGGACCTTGAGGAACGATTGTTCCAGCGAGTTTAGCTCTATTGGTTCATCAAGATAGGCAAGCCTAACCACCACGTCAAGGTAACAACAACGGTTGGAGTCCGCGTGACTATCATAACCAATGGTTGGAGACTCTTGGTGACATGGCTCAGAATCGATCACAATGGTGTAGGTGTGTACACTCTCTATCTTCCCTTAAACTATGACATTAAAATCGCTTCATATCTTTCTTTCTACGAACTAATTCCTTCTGTACTATGTCCTTATATGTAATTTTTCTTTTATATATTACACCATTGAGTTGATTGCTTCTATGAATTTGGTGTTCATCTTGTTGTGCTGATGAGGTATGGCAAGTTGGACCGATGCACATATGTGTCTGGTCCTACGTTGTAGCTGACCGACTTATTATTTTCCTTAGGAAATGTAAGAATTTCATTCTAAATACATTGATATAAAACCTCAGACATTAAGAAAGTCAATTATACGTACCACTTCGTCGAAAGTACTGCATTAAATCATTATCAACTTTATTTGGCCAACTGGCATTCACATATTTCACGACCTACTGAAGTTCAGAATCTGATTGAACAGCATCTTGGACCATTGCAACCGACGTTTTTATTCTGCATCAACCGAAACGTCGCAATCCTTGTTAATTGGTCGATTGAGTTGATTAATCTTGATAACACCCCAGTTTATCTAAGACTGGTCGTCGACATGTATTTAATAATAAAATCACAGCCAAGAAGGAGTGTAGCCCACAACTGCAAGCGATTTGCTGTGTATATTGAGATGCTTTTCATTGAACCAAAAATTAATAGAATAGGCTTATGATTTGTTAAGCGGGTGAAATGTCGTCCATGGTTCGATGTATCAGATGCGTTAGCAGCATATTTGGTGACAGCATTTTCCTGATGTTGCCAAAGTTATTTTGACATTGGTTAGACAAACGTCATTACTTCTCTTTACTCATAAATTCATTTAGATACGCGCGACGTTGATGCATAGATGGAAATAATTAGGCATAATTATTTATTAAACTCATGAATGACAGTAGGTAGTTGAATTCAGATGGTGGTGGGATTCGCTTTATGAATTCAATATTCTCTTGACCAGGGTATCTTCCGTAGCAATCGATAACAAATCCAAGGTACTTGGTTGAAGTCATGAAGAAGTTAATTTTCTCTTGCTTTAGTATGAAACTATAATCTTTAATACACACATACCATATGCAAACATTCGAATATTTTCTCTGTGGTTGTGCCAGAAATTATTTTATCATCTATGTAAAACATGGCACTCGGAAAGTTTGTAAGCGTTGCGACCATAATTTACTGGAATATGGCTGAGCACGACTTGACTCCGAACGGGAGGCGAATACTGTGATAGAGATCTCGGTTTGTATTAATGGTAATAAACTCTCTGGATGCCACGTTAATACATATCTGCAGACATGAATCAGTGAGGTTAATATTTGAATAAAATATGTCTTCGTTCCGATTAAATAATGTAGAAACAAACTTCTTTACCTATACACTTACTGATGTTACCCCTCATGAAAGAGCATAGGCTACACACAACCATTTTCCATCTAAATCTATCCTTCTCAGTTGCTATTCATCCTTTTCATGTCTACTTCCAATACTCGACACAATGTGTTCTTCGGCCTTCCTCCTGTGACTTACGTAATGAAAGGTAATAGGCCGAAGAACCCTCGTAAAGGTTACAGGTCAAATAAACAAATCAGTTTTTTTATTAAACATAAGTTAACAATAAATCGATCACTAAAGTAGTACCAGGGGAGCGAACAACACTATTTATGTACATCAATTAAGATCGAAATACTGAATTAGTATTACATTTACATAACGAAACGGATAAGCAGTTGTTCTATCTGTTGTTATTACTCAATAAAACTGTACTGAAGCCTAATTTGTGAGTTGTATTCATAATATGCTTGTTTATCACGATGGAGAACAATCCAAAGACATTCACTGTTTTGTCTATTCTTCCAACTTACATGCTATTATTACTTACTTACTTACACCTGTTACTCCCAATGGAGCATAGGTCGCCGAACAGCATTCTCCAACCCACTCTGTCCTAGGCCTTCTTTTCTAGTTCCATCCAATTCTTGTTCATTCTTCTCATGTCTATCTCCATTTCTCGGCGTAATGTGTTCTTTGGTCTTCCTCTCCTCCTTCAGCCTTCAAGATTCCATGTGAGTGCTTGTCTTGTGACGCAGTTGGGTGCTTTCCTCACATGCTATTATAAACGTTGTTAAATACAATTGAAGGTAACTAAGGTAGGTCTCATTATCGAAGATAGACTACCTAAGTAGGTATTTAATGTTACATGAAATGATCAATTTTGTGGGAAGCAAGTTATTTCAATGTTAGCTCTCAGCAGACAACTAATCTCTAAGTCAGGCCATCTCCTATGAACAGAAATTTGATAAGTAAATACATTATGGAGTTAGTGGCTAGTATTCTTGAAGATAATAAAAATTAGGTTATATTAAATGCCATGTTAATAATACCGGGATTGTAATCAAGTCATTTGATTGTCTTCCTATTTCGAAACCAGGATCTATTTAGTTCACTTAATCTGTTGCCATAAAATAGGTCCCTCTATTATGTCCAAAGCCTTATTTTCTAACCTATGATATTTGAGGAGAATAGGTTCCATAATATCTAGAAATGGTGATTTCAGTGGTTGAGATCATGAGTCGATTGAAGCTAGATCAGCATGGAAAACCTGGAAGCACTGGACGGCGGTTTCGTTCTACTGTAGGACTCCTCAACAGTGCGCATCCACGATTCCTCCTCGCGCGCGAGCGCTCAAACACTAGACCACTGAGCCGGCCGGCCGGTATCCAACGGTGTTAATGTCTAACTTCAACCAATCCACGAAATCAAGCGACACATCCATTCAACCATGGAAATTACTATAATATCCACAAAAGCCCTTCTGAAATGGTGATTTATTTAAGATCCATGTTTGTATGTCAAGGGAGACTTTCTTATCCTTTACAAATCTATGATAAACCTAGTATGTTTGAAATATAATGATTCATATCGTGGAGTTTGAGATTTGTGTTCTCGAGTAAACTGACTGGGCTAAGCAGGAAGCAGGATCAATCGGGACCCTAGACTGTTCGTACAGGTTTTATGCGTCCTTGGTCCGATCGATAATTCACTGCTCTCTGATTGGCGGTTTCGTTACGTTATACATTAGCAGGGCACTCAGTCCACAAGTTTTCCAATGAAGTTCTTATTTAAAGTAAAGTTTCGTTTATAGAATAAATTGAAATATTTCCAGTGTATTTTGATAGACCCTTGACAAGCCAAGTTTCAGTTTTAGTTTAGAAAGTATAGGAGGCTTGATGACTTGCGTTAGTCCTGGCAAGGAAGATCTCTCAGTTGATCCAACTTTCCTTTGAAATTGCCCCCTAATGCCCTGGTACGGCCAACAGTGGGGAGAGTCCACTCTCCCTCTCGAAATGCTCTCACATGGCCACGCGTATATAGCCTCTGCCATGGAAGTTCTACTCACTGCCTTCTCGCAACACCGGTGTTCTTCACGAAAATGAGAGGACGAAAAGAGAATGTCCGGCACCGGCTTTAACCGGATCCCAAACCAATGGTGCACATGGGCTCCAGTATCCTGCGAGAACAAATGGCGTATGAATCAATCGTTGGTCACCGGCTACCATGGGACTGAATCTCCTTACGATGCTCCACTGCCTTGTGGGTCAGACGTTTAGGTCGAAGGCTCGGGGTGTGGCGCCCTAAGAAAACCACCTGTTTCGGTTTGGGCACCCGGGAAGTATCACAACCCTAACATATATCAAATGAAATTTATGTGGCGCATATGTATTTGGTGCCTCCTTGTACCAATATCTATGTGTTAAAATAAATAAATAAATAAAATCTTTTGAAATAGTCAATAGGTGGAGCTTCAATCATTTGTTGAGGTTATGAATTTCACTCGTTGATGATTCGATGGGAAAGTCGATAGTC